CCCCCCCCCCCCACCAGAATATCCATGAAGGCTTGATTTTGCCCATGGCTGTATACCTCTGGGCCTGGCACACAGAAGGTGCTTAATAAATGTTTGTTGAATGAGTGAATGGATGGATAGATGGCCCTTGTCCTCCCCCTCCCCAAGCCTGGAGAAGTAATGAAGAGGGGTCTGCCCCACCCCCACCCCTCCTCTGCCTGCAGAGCCTCAGGGCCTCTGTCTTACTTAGATGAGTAGAGCTGGGAGGCAGAAATGTCACCACTTGGCCCACGGGGAAGAAAGGGCCAGCCCCAAGAAGATTAAAGGCATGTCTGATGAGATGCTAATTTGTTTCTGGTAGCAGGCGGGTGTGGCAACAGCTCTGGCCTCTGGGGCTTTGTGAGGCTGAGAAGGAATGGAAAAGGCAGAATCTGAGGGGTAGAGGCTGGTCTGCATCCCTCTGTGATTGGTGTCCTTCTCTTAGCCCATCTTTGAGTTCTGTCCGCTCATTTTTGAGAGGGTCAGATGTCCACGGCCAGCTTGGACCTGAGCTCAGGCCTCCTGACTCTCCCTCTGGGCTGATCTGGTGTTCACCCCTGGTTTCCTCTCCTCTGAGAGGTCCTGTGCTCTCCCACACTGTCCCTGTGGCTGCCATTTCTGCAAAAGGAGCCCTGTGAAAATCTGGGGGCCACAGAAGGGAGGTGCCTGGCAGGTGTGTCTGAGATAACAGACAAGCGTTAAGCGCCTGGAAACCAGAACCCCAGATATCCATTCCTGACTGCGGACCCTGCTGTCTGCCAGGCCAACTGCTCGCTGGAGGCTAGGAACCCATCATGCAGCTGAGGCCTCCTTCCACTGCCTCCCTGACCGGCCCTGAAGGCAGCTTGGAGATATGAACATATCTCTCCATGTTCTGTTCATCATTCCCTCATTGTGCATTTGCTGAGTCCCCGGTCTGTGCTGGAATCTGGGACGCTTAGAGGAGGGAGGCACTGGATCGGCCAGGACTCTTTTGGGTCCAAGTTACGAAAAACCCAACCCAAACAGGCTTAAGCAGAGAAAGGAATTTATTGGCTAAAGTAACTGGAAAGGGATATTGCCGACTTAAGGTGTGGTGGGTTCCAGGTGCTGAGAGGACCACATCATCAGGGTGTGATCAGCCTCAGTCCTCCCTCCCCTTTCTCTCTGCCACCAGCAGCTCCAGACTCATGCTGTTTTCTGTACCCACGGCCCCCTCAGGGGGGAAGGAATTTCCCTTTCTGAGTAGTTTCATCCTAAGTCCCAGAATAATCTCTCATTGGATCGACTTGGGCCATGTGCTCATTCCTGAGCCAGCCACCAGGGGTGGGGTGGGAGTGTGCCATCGCCAAGCTCTGGGTCAAGCGCTCTCCTTGGGGGGATGGGCGGTGGCGCCAGCTCTCCCCACACTGAGTGCGAGGAGCGGAGGGGCTCCCCGGGGAAAGTGGGTGATACTGCTGGAAGAAGAGGAGCAGGAGGCAGAACAGCAGGGGGCCCCCGCAGATGCCAGCTGTCGGAGAGCTCACCACCTGGAGAAGCTGGCCTGCGCCTGGGGAAAGGTGTTTATTGAGCACCTACTGTGCTCTGATAAGTGGAGTCATTGTTTCCTCCCTGGGGCCCCAGGAGGTGCACATTCCTGTCCCCTGGGTTCAGATGGGAAAGAGACTCAGAGAGAAGCAGCACCTATAGTCCGGGAGCCCTTAGTGTGCAGGGATCGTGTCCTCCTCAGCTCTGCTTTTGGTATAGCACCGAGCACAGAGCCAGCGAGCTTCTCAGGAGGACCTGGGTCTTCTGGGACCCAAGGAGCCACCTCCCAAATCAGCTCCGAGCAGCTGGGCTGGAGTGACTTCTGGGTGTATCCTGTGTCTTCAAGATGAGGCCTTGAACTTGGGAAGAGATGGGGAAATAAACTTACTCCTTCCCGCAGTCCTCCCTCCGGGGCTCACCACAATGTACACAGGCCCACTCATAGGGACTCTTGTCTTGTGCTCACCTCTCTTGGCTCCTTTTCTTTAGGATAAATTCTTTCCCGGGGCCTCCGTGGTGGCTCACCTGCCCTGCTCATTTGCCTGAGGCACCGAGGTCCATCTCTTAAACCTGAACTCCACTTAAACTGAAGTTGGGCCTCTGCTACACCTACCAACAGCTCTCTTAATGAGAATGCTTACATGTAGTATTTATTGAG